AGTATTTGGGGGTATATTTCTCACCTGACTAGAAAGGATAAAAACTTCCTCACAGACTATGTAAGGCTTCCTGTTACTTCCTTAATATACCAAATAACGCATTTAGCACTGAAAAGTGAAATCTTGTTTTCTTTTGTTTTAAAAAACAATGGAAACACACTTTCCCCGTGAACTATCTTTCACTTGGTGTTCAGGTGACCACTTACTGCTACACCAAATGCATTCTGCTTCTCTCTTATTTGTGTCCCTCGATACAGGGTTATAGGAATAAAGCCCACACACTCTCTTGACCTTTGGGAATGTGATGCTGTCTCAGTGCACGAGTAGTGTGACTTTTTTTCAGAGATTGTCTTGAAATAAGCCTATGTTTTAAATACACACTTTTCTTTTTGCTAGCAGGCATTCTGAAGCTAGGTGGTTCTAAATAAAGAACTCTAGTCAACAACAGGAAATAACTCCCACAGAAAAAAGGGGCAGAATACAAACTCTCACCAACTCTTGTACACAGTTCACAACGGCCTTTTGTTCCATGCACATTAAGCCTGAAATCTTTACTTTTCAGAGCATGTTTGGGCCTTTGCAGAGCAATTAAACCTTCCTTTTCTTTTCGCTGGTGTCCTTGCCTTCTCTCCGAGAAAGTTAACCTTACAACGGACTTCTTACTATGAGGTAGCAGATCAGAAAATGGAACAGTTTCTATTCTGAAACTCAACATTTTTTTCTTAATGGAGCTTCTCAAGGGGAAAAAAAAAAAATCAACTCTCAGTGTAAAACTCACTTTTCCTTCTAATACATAGAATACCACGTAAACACACATATATATATGTCCCAAAGGAATATGTTCATCTGAAGTGTATGTTTCTAAATCTATCAACAAAGACATAATCATATCAACCCATAAATCTAGTGATGGGTTATCAACACTTTGCCAGTGACATTTCAGCAAATCAATGCATCTAGAAGATACATTTATGTTCTATTCAAAGGCACCCATCTTGAGTCTTTAGTGAAAAAGAGGTTTCGAGAAAAATCTAGGTCCCAAACCAACCAAATAGACATGTGAAGGATGGTTTTTAATGTCTCAGTGACTCCTACTGGGACAGAATGGTGGCATTCAACCTACAGCATAGGTACTCCAGACTAGAAAATGGGGCTGAGTGAAACAGCTTAAATATGACTGCAGACTGGTATTTCTTCCTCTCCTATACACTCAGCCTTGCCCTCTCTACTGGCTCCGTCCTGCAGTCAATAAATTACAGACTCAATGTTCTCTCTCTTCACTTATAAAACAAGAAACAATCCTACCCTGCTTCAATGTTGCTGGCTACTTCTGTCTTTACCCTTCACAGCTTTAGTCCCACCTACTTCCTCTGGCTTCTGCAGAAAAACTATATTGATCACCCCCAGAAAAGAGCACCAGTGCCCCCTAAGTGCCAAGCCAATGGACATTTCTGAGTTCCTCTCATGACTGAGCCTCTCTCTCTATAGCATTTGACATTAATGACCACCTCCAACCATTTCTTTCAGTAACTCTGGCTGAACTATAGTCAGTCTCCTGGTTCCTATCTCTCTGTCCACGTGCAGTTTCCTTGGCTGGCTCCTCTTCCTCTGACCACCCTATAAATCTACAGTTCTGCACTTAAAAAAAAAAAAATCACCCCCTATTGCAATTTGGGACCAGAGAAGATTACAAAGGTGAGTGGGGAATGGGGATGGTTAGTTAGGATATCAGAATCTTCAGGAAAATTTGGAGACGTGGGTGTTTTGAAAAAATTTTACCAGTTGATAATCACTATCTAAATGTTTGTATTCCCTATGGTTCTGTTTTGCTCCCTCTTCTCTTTTTCTCATCCTATAAATTCTCCCTGGGCAACCTCACCCACTCTCAGGGTATCTGTATGCTAAAGATTCATAAATCAATAATCACATTCCAGACCTTTCTCTTTGAGGTTCATATCTGACCTTTATATATATGAGAGACCATACATATTGTCATTTGTCAGGGTCATTCCTAGTATATGCTTGTCCTGGCATAATTAGTAATAACACCCTGCTTCAATCTCAAAATGGTCCTGGGTTGAACAATAAAAGTATATAATTAGCCTATTTCTATCCCATTGCCTATTAGACATCTCCACTGGGTATCATAAGGGCATCTCCAACTCACAGCACATCTAAAATTGTCCTAATTTTATCCTCCTTAAATCTGCTTCTCCTCCTGAATGCCTAAATATGGTTAAGGTACCAACAAGGTACCCCTGATGTCTAAGTTGGAAATTTAAGATTCAAAGTATCTTCTCTCATATTTAATGAGACATAAAGTCCTGTCAATTTTCTCTCTTAAATATTTTTCAAATATGTCCCCTTCTCTCCATTTTTACCAAAACTGCCCTAGTCAAGACCCTAATATCTTTCACTTTGATTACGGCAACAATCCATCTCCCGACTTTCAGTCCTAGATATTCTCCTCTAATCCATCTACACCACCTACTGTGTGACAGGTAGCATGCTAGGTACAAGGAATACAAAATGAACAAGAGATGTTCCCACTGAGTTCACAGGGTAGACTAACTCATCACTGTGACACAGTGGGTTACGTGGCAATAGAGACATGCGCAGGGTGACAACAGACACACACGAGTGGCCACAGAGCCTGGCCAGTGTGAAAACAGGGAGGTAGTGATGGATTTTAGGGTAAATGGGAGTGAGTCAAGGTCATTAAAGGCAGATGGAGCTGCAGAGATGGGGAGGTGAGAAAAAGCAGAGGACGTGGGTGCGGATCTGAAGCGTAAATCGCAAGCAGGGAATAACAATAAACAGGCCCAGAGAGTCTGACTGGGCACGTCTAGGAAGGCCTTGGATACCACATTAAAGGGTCTGGCCTTTATGTTCTGAAGGTGGTGAGGAGTCATTAAAAGATTTTCCGGAGACTTCCCTGGGGGTCCAGTGGTTCAGACTCCGTGCTTCCACTGCAGGGGGCACGGGTTTGATCCCTTGTCGGGGACTAAGATCCCACATGCCACATGGTGCGGCTGAAAAAGAAAAAGAAGACTTCCCATGGGGGAGAGGTACAATATGATTTTTATTTTAGGACGTTAATTCCACATCTATTCCTGAACTTAACAGAATGATCCTAAAATTTATTAAGAATAACCAACAAATGAAAAAATAAAATAAATTTTAAAGAAGGTAGTAAAAAGCTGTAATAATTAACAGAGTTGGGTTCTGGCAAAAGAAAAATATAAATGCATCTACAATTGAAAAACTTGAAACAGACCTTAGTATAAAGATTTAGTATATTCTAAAGATAGCGTTGTTAGTGCAATAGTTTATGATTTAAGGGGAAAAATGGATGTCAGATTCTCGTATTGTCTCGTGACAATATGAAAAAACACAAGAGATTAACTAAATAATAAAATATATTTTTAAAAATGTAAGAGAACTAAAAACAATTACAGCTGAATAATTGATCTTAGAAGGAGACAAGATTTTTCCAAACACAAAGCAAAAAAAGAACTATAAAATTAAAATGGATTAAAAACCTATACATCAAGAAATACCATAAGCAAAATTAAAGGAAAAATGACAAACTTGGAAAAATATCTGCAAACCAGATAACAAAGACTTAGTAACCTAACCTAACCTAACCTAATTTTATGAATCAAGTAGAAAAACACCAATACTACAATAGGAAACACTGAAATTAAATTAGCAAAATGGGCAAAGGACAAAAGCTGATGATCACCAAAGGAAGACATGCATGAAAAAACAAAGACAAATGCACCTAATCAAAGCAGTACAAATTAGAAATATAACTGCTACACACCAAGCTGGCTACAGGTGTGTTAAAACTGATAACAATGTGAGGACACAGTGGACAGGCTGGGTCATAGCCACTGATGAGAATGTCAATGAATTCAACCTTGGGAAGGCAGGGTTTGGACATCTGTATCAAGAACCTTTTAAAATGTCCATATCCTGTACTGTGGTCATTTCATTTCTAGGAATTTACCCCATAGAACTAATCAGAGCTGTGTATAAAGAATATATTCATTCAACAAATATTTATTGAATGCCCACTGTATCCTAGGTTCTAGGAGTTGGGAATGTGGCAGCAAACAAAACACCAAAATCCCTGTTCTCACGGCTCTTACATTCCAGTGAGGGGGAAGAGAGAAAATAAGATAAATTAGTAAATTATATGGCGTATTAGAAATTAGGTGCTCTACGGAAAAGTAAAACAGGGAAGAAGGATGGGGAATGTGTGCTTGGCTGTGTATGTGTGGGGTGGGGGCAATTCTGAAGAAGTGGTTTAGAAAAGCCTCGCAGAGAGGATGACATTTGAGTAAAGATCTGAAGGAGGTGAAGACTCAAGCCAAGCACAGTTTTCCTGGCAGAGGGAACAGAAAATGCGAGCAGGGCTGGAGTTGGGCATGTGCCTAATGTTTCAAAGACATCAAGACAGAGGGGAGGAGTGGGGGGGGGGAGTGGGAGGAGAGAAGGTACAGGGAGGAGGGGCAGGGTGTAGAGGGCCTTATATGCCAATGCAATGACTTTGACTTTGACCTTAAGTCAGATGGGAAGCAATTACTGCAATACTCTTGGCCCCTAACCGTGTATCTCAAGATACTGGCCAGTGATCCTTTTAAAACAAAAGTCAGGTCACATCACTCCTCTCTTAAAACCCTCCGGTGGTGGTGACTATGTTGTAATGATTGACTTGTTTAGTGTTGCTTTGAGTTTTTAATCTCTTCAAGTGTGCCCCAAACGCTAATATTTGAAAATGTGCTACTAACACTACATGACAGAGAATCACTGTCTGGGTGAGTGTAATGGTTAAGAGCCTGAGCTTTACAGTTAAGGCAGATCTGCCACTTATGAGCTTTTCACTTGTGAACCTTGGGCATGTTTCACAATCTCTGATTCTTAACTGTAAAAAAGGGGAAACATTACCCACCCCACAGTGTTATAAAGATTAAGAAAATGCTTTTTTTTCAAAGGGAAGGGTGCCCACTGGTGGCACATGAGGTGATTTTAAAAGGTATCGATACGAAGAGAACTGGCACTAAAGGATCATCTTTGGAGGGGGAAGGCACCAGCTAGATGAGAGGTAAGTGTTGTCTGAGGGATGCGAAAGTTTCCCAGGAGGAGGAGGACAGGAGAGCGTTTTGAGACAGTACTCGAGGTTTCCTGCCGTCTGGCCTCCCTTGATGGGTGATGCAGTTCCAGCTAATTGGGTAGAAGGGGAAAGTCTGCTGAGGGCCCTGGGAAAGAATTTTTCCTCTCTGATTAAAAAATGAGGGACACAAGAGCATGCAGGAAGAGATCTTTTTCTCTCTCATGGCTGTGTGAGGATGTGGTCCCTGGAGCTATGGTAACTATCCTGTGTGCATGCTAGAAGGGTAAGGACTGAGGGTGATGGGGTAGAAGTCAAGGTGGAGCCTGGGTCCTCGAGGACATCACTGAGCGGATGAGCTGATGAGAACAACTGGCTCTAGGGCTACTCACCTCCAGACTTCCGAGGGAAACAACAGATGGCCTTATGAGTCTGTTTGTAACCACAGGTGAGGTCCGAGGACACAGGCCACTCAATCACCAAGGGAATGGTTTAACCCCACATCCTTAGACCCCGCCCAGCTCTGCTAAAACAGTATCTTTGTGGGAGGGCTTAAGAATCTGTATTTTATACTTCCCAGTTGTACTGGTTTCCCATTGCTGCTATTTCCTATTACCATAAACTTAGTGGCTTAAAATGACTCAAATTTATTCTCTTACAGTTCTGGAGGTTCAGAAGTCTAAAACTGCAGTGTTGACAGCTCTGCACTCCTTCTGGAGGCTTCAAGGCAGAATCTGTTTTCCTGTCTCTTCCAGCTTCTAGAGGCTACCTGCACCTCTTGGTTTGTGGCCTCTTCTTCCATCTTCAAAATATACCATCCCAACCTCTGCTTCTGTCGTCCCATCTCCTTCTTCTGCCTTTGACCTTCTTGCCTCCGTCTAATAAGGACGCTTATAATTATATGGAGTGCAGCCAAATAATCCAGGATAACCTGGACAACAAGGATCTCAAGATCCTTAATTCAGAAACATTTGCAAAGTCTCTTTTACCATGTAAAGTAACATAGGTGGGGAAGGAGGGCACTATTCTGACCACCGCATCAGTTAACTACAGGGCCATTAAAAATCATAAATTTAAGCCACTATTTGTTGACCTGCATGTGAAAGCATCTAAATAAATCACTTGCTGGTCATAAAAACTTGAGCCAATGGTTCTGAATGGGAGCAGAGGTGGTGGAAGGGTGTGGAAGATGGGGAAAAGGGTTGGGGAAAGCCATACATGTTAGAATTATTTGGGATCTTTTTCCAAAATATAACCTGGGTCCTGCCCAGACCTATGGAAATGGGATATCCAGGTAAAGGGAACATGCATGTCTGGGTGAACGAGCCTCCCTGGGACATTCAGCTACAACCCCCGGCTAAAATAACCTCCAACTATGCCGTAGTTTTCTCATCTGTAAAATATTTTAAAAAATACCCACACACACACACACACACACACACACACATCCTGCCTATCTCTCATGATCATGTTGAAGGGATGTTGAAGAATTTTTTGGCCACGTGGCATGTGGGATCTTAGTTCCCCCGACCAGGGATCGAACCCGTGCGCCCCCTGCAGTGCGGAGTCTTAACCACTGGACCACCAGGTAAGTCCCTTGAAGAATTTTATAATTGGTAACGAGCTAGATAAGTACCACTGGTGATTATTAGAGGAAACTGATGCAGACTGTAAATGGTGGTGTTGGGCAAAACGATTCATTCAGAGAGACTCCAGTTACTCAGAACCAACAAAGCAAGCAGAAATAAATCCTTGAGGAAAAAAAAGAAGAAATCACAAAGCCCATGCACCAACCTCATGCATTATCATGTACTTCCTGAGTGTCTATTTAATCTTAAGATGATTTTATTTATTTGTTCCCCCAAACCATAGACTGTAAATGGGAATTAGAGGGGAGAATGCATTTAAAAAGAAGCGAATTGATACTAGCACAAAAAAAAAAAGAAAAAGAAAAAGGCAGCTAACAATTAGAAATCAGGGTTGGGGGGATTAAAAAATGTTGATACAAGAGCTCAAAAAATTTAGTGTGGGAGATCATTTAGAGGCAAATAGCACTATGCCCCTCACTAGCCCTGCCCTAAAGGGCTCTGTATTCCAACAGAATACCTAAGCAATCTAAATGATCCTGAATCATGAAGAAAAGGTACCATTATGCTCAATGTTTTCTGTGGGAAAAATGTAATAATAAAACAACAGTATAGGGAAATGATACAGGGAAAGATTTTTATTGAACAAGCTTACATTAAACAAATTTGGGTACTTAAAGAGAAACTTCAAACATCTGTATAAAAAAGGTACACGTATAGAATTCCTGTATGCTATATAAAAATATGCCACTGCATAAACCATAGCTGCTGTAAATCTAAACATAAGCTCTGCTGATGTGAAGGAAGTCCTCACACAGCATAAGAGCTCAATAAATCTGTGTTGTCTGAGAGACTAAAATAGACGTTGTCACCTGCCTGGATGAAGGATGGTGTTAGATTGGTCCATCTGCTGGCTGTGGAGTATACAATAACAATACCGCACCTTTGAATCTGTATAATTACTTATTTATACACATGATAAAGCACGTTGACATCACCATCTTAGTTGCTCCCCACATCCTAAAGCCCCAAGTAGCCCCAGCTACTACTATTCTGTTTTACACTTGAGGAACTGAGGTTCAAAGAAAACTTTCTCAGGATGCCACAATGACCAAGCAGCAAAGCCTAGATTCCAGATCCAGTTTTTATTTTCAAATTTACATTATTGCAAATACCACTACACTTAACCATCTAATGAAGACTCTCTGCCAAAGCACATTTCTGAAAATAGATTGAGATGGGAACTTTAAGCATGGTGATCTATCTATCCATTTATTTATCTACCTACCTATTTATAAAGCAGCAAATTTTTAACATATCTTTTAAAAACACATCTTATCTTTTTCTTTTCAATATGCCCACACACTGGCTAAGTTTCTATAAACAGCTTTAGGTCAGAGTGAGATTTTATGACTGAATCTTAAACGTTAAGTAAATAGAAAATACTAAGACGGTCTAAGTTAATAAACAAAATCATTAGCTCTAAAAACAAAAAGCTCAAAATGTACAGATTTCACAAATATGTGGTTGCTATATGAAATGCTGCAGTTATTCCAAAAGTGTATTTTACTTTTGTTTATATTTCTTGTGGACTACTACGCTTCCATGCAATTTCAACCCACATATGTGGATGACACACACGGAGCTTAAAATACGACGATGCCTCGGGCTGCCACAGTCATGCAGCTCAGTGATATACCCATCGGATGTGAAGCTGAACTCTGCGTAATGTACATTCACGCTCTTCTGCCCGCACCAAGCATTGCTGTAACTCCAGCAAAGCATATTCATCCACCTCCAACCCACCCTCCCACTTGAAGGAGAGTGCATGCTGTGAAACTGAAGTAAATAGATTATGTAAAGCACCTTTTATGAGAAGTCATCTTTTCCATATTAACAGTAAAAAAGTCTTCACTATGAGTTAGGCCGCTTTTATACCATTATCTTTTGGCTCTTTGCAGAGAAACCAAAGTACAAAATACAGAGTATTTTGAGATTATTTAACATATAATTAAGCAAACTATAGTCAAGATTTTCTGACATGCCTAAGAACACTAACTTTGGAGTCAAATAGTCCTGAGACAGACAGGGTTTCAAGTTCCAGCTTGACCGTGTGCTGGCGATCTGACCTTAGGCAAGTTGCTTAAGCCTCAGTTTTCTCAACTGTAAAAAGGAGACAGAATCAGGACCTGAGGCATGGTGTTATCATGTGGGTTAAGTGAGATTATGCATGTAAAGATGTTAGCACAGCCTCTGAAAATGATAAAGAAAGGTAGCTCTTTTTGTTATTAATAATTACTTAGATAATGCTCATTAAATTCAATACTGGGCCAGCGATTACTGGTGTTGCAAGGAGAGCTCCCTTGTTCCTCCCCAGCATCGCTGCCAAGTATGGTGAATCTTATGTACAGCTTTGGGATACACGCTGGACATTAGATGGAGCTCCACTCACTTCAGGCATTAGGTAAGACTGGAGCACAGGAAAAAGACATTTTTATTGAATAAATCTCATCATCTGACTAGCATTCAAAATGTACCTCTGTCCCTGCAATTCAATATAAAACCAACCCCACCTTTTTTTTTTCTTTGTCTAACAAACATTTACTGACTGTCCACTGTGTCAGGTCCCAGGCTAAGCTTAAGAAAAGAACTGGAAGAATGTAAGATCTCTGGATTGTTAATTATTTGTAATTTCCTCCTCCTTGTCACTTTGCTTTAATTATATTCTTATGGGAAGATGTGTACATAACAAAGCATAATAAAGACTAAGAAAGATCAGCTACTTTCTTCAATGGCTTTAAAATATAAGTAACAGAAGCAAACAGCATGTCTCTTCCTACTTTCATTGCTATAACTAGGCTATAATACTTTCTTTTTCCACATAAAAAAAATGCCATTAATGTTTGGCAAGTGAGCCCAAAGAAATGGAGAATGTACACAAAAAATGTAGAAAGCTTTAAGTCTCATTAGGAGTAGAGGTACCCATCTTTCTTTAATACCCATTATACCTCTATGCGACTGAAACTCAGATCTCAAATCTCAGTCTCTTGAGTTGCTCTGAAAAATGCTGGTGCTCAGCAGCAGACACAAATATCTCCATTGGCCACGCTTCTATTCTGTTTCATGGATTATGGGCTTGAATGGTATATTAGGATTTACACTTGGCTGTAAGTAAAGAAATGCTAACAGGGTGAAATGACTTAGAGTTTATTCTTTGTTCTCATGAAATTAGAAGTCTAGGGTTGGGCAGCTCAGGACTGGAAAGATGGCTCAAAGGTACCTGTTCCACCATCCTCATGGTGCTGAGGGTCATAAGAAGGCTGCTATCCACCAGCTATTTCATCTACATTCTATGTAAGAATAAAGTCAAAAGCCTTGTCTTCATGAGGCTTTGTCTTTTT